ATAATATGTACATTAAATTAAAAATCAAATTACATCAATATATATATATATAGGATAAATATACATTTACTCTATCCTCTTCTTTCATATCCTCCCCAGAAGTTAACCACTGCTAATAACTTGGTGACTAGCCTTGCGATTCTTTTCTACATTTACATACATTATTGATGGTTTTGTTTTTAATATACATGCTGTCATATAGTTCTGCAACTTGCTTTTTTCACTTATTTTATGTCTTAAAGATGTTTGTCTGTCATTACCTAAGATCTATCTTAATTTTTTAACTGCTGTAAAATATTCCATAATATAGATTTAACACAATGCAACCAGTCCCTTATTGATATTTAGCATATTTCAAATTATATATTACTATGAAGCAGAGCTGCAGCGAGCTTTCTTATATATGTCTCTTCTTGCACATATGCAAGTATTTCTCTAGAGGAGACGTAAAATCCTTGGGTGGCAGGATATGCATACTTTAAATTTTGATAGCTATTGCCAAATTGCCTTCCCAAAAGGCTCTAACAGTTTCCATTCCTGTCAATAGTGGATGAAGAGCTGGGCTAAACCTTTTAAGACCAATCAGAATCTCCCAGTTCTTGGCAATTGTATATATGGATCCATCCTATGTCTGAAATGTCAATGTATCACCCAATAACACCCAGTTCTCTATTCATACAAGATATGATTCTTTACAAAAGCATCAAATTTTAGAGCTAGAAAGGGGCTGGAAACTGATTCTTGTCAAAGGTTTGTTTTTCCTGCATATGTGGGAGAAAAGCTGAATTCTGGATCAAAATTGCTCATGCCATTAATAATCTCAGAAAGTGGCTCTAAAAGCACAAAATAGTTAAGTAAATTGCTGAATAAATCCTGTTTGTATCATCTGCAGGGCATGAAGTACTTACACCATAGAGAGTTTCTTCATGGGAGACTGAAGTCTCGGAACTGTGTGGTAGATGGGCGTTTTGTACTAAAAGTGACAGATTATGGCTTTAATGACATCTTGGAAACACTGAAACTCTCCCAAGAGGAACTTTCTGCAGAAGGTAAGCAATGAATTGTATCCTCCTGCTGCACACAAGGTAACTCCAAAGTTCAAATGAGAATAGGCACTGAATTATGGCCTCAGGCTGATTTCAAGTCCCCACTTTTGTTGAAAATTCTACCTCATTTTTGTGTCAGGGGAGTTGAATGAAGTCTGCATGCTGTACCTTGGTCCAGCCTAGCCTTCCCAATAAGGCTAGTGTAGTAATGCTCAGTTCCTGTTGCGACAGGATTAGGCTGCATTGTTTGGAGACCCCAGCAGTTCCTAGAGGAGCTTACTGAGCACTAGGCACACAGTAGGTGCTCACTAAATTCTTGTCAGATTGAATTGAAGGTAATTTGGTAGCCCGACCCCTGCTAAGTACATTCTAGAATGGGATGTCACTAGAGCCTACTGGCACTGTCTTTGTCAGAGAGAAAGGAGCAAAAAGGGGGGCCCCATCAAATAAATGCTCTGCGGGTTGTGTGGGCTGGCTTCAGATAGAACTATAGCCTTCAAGCGAATAAGTAGGCATGCCTGAAGCATCCATTTTGTGTTTTTGTCTTCCATATAGTACACCAGTGGCAGCACTAAACTATGCCTGTAGGGGCCCTGACAGATCAAAAGAACAGGAGAAATCTGGAGGAATGAACTAATAAGAGGGAGGGAGGAAGAGGGAGAAGGAGGGAGAGGGAACGAGAATAAATATAGCTAAATACATATAGGAAACCTGGGCATTCAAAGTTTTAACTGGTATTGCAAGGGGGAAGAAGAGTGATAGTGACATAAAACAGAGAAACAGACAACCCAGTTAGATAAACAGAGGGAGAGATGCAAAATTCCAGCATATATTCATATACCTAAAAGGATTTTGGGGAGCTCTGGTAGCATAGTGCCTAAGGCATTTGACTGTGAACCAGAAGGCTGACGGTCCAAACCCACCAGCTACTCCTCGGAAGGAAGATGGGGCAATCTTCTTTCATAATGATACTGCCTTGGAAACCCAAGGAGGGGTCACTATGAGTCAGATCCGACTCAATGGCAGTGAGTTTGGGTTGGTGAAAAGAATTTTTAGCATTAATAAGTTTCAAAACTGCTGACTTTACTATGAAGGAGAAAAAAAGAATGAATGACACAGAGAGAGACACCTACACAGATAGAGACAGACAGTCCAAACATAGACTTTACTCTTTACAAGACTTGTGACATGTTCAACTTTTGGGAGTCATCTAGTTGAACTCCCTCATTTTATAGAAGAAGAAACTGAGGCTCAAGATTTACCCAAATCATGCAGCTACTCAGCAGCAGTGCTAGAACTTCAAGTCGGGCCTTCTGAAACCTACACCTTATACCCAGCAAACTAGAACTTATAACAGTTTCCTCTTTCTCTGCCCATCCATGCTTTGGAGGACTTGAAGCTCCTGGTATTCACAATGACAAACATGTGATACTGCTACTCTCTCTCTCTCTCTCTCTCTGGACCTGCTCTAATTTCTGAATTAATCATACGTTTCTTATTTGACTAATTCTAATTTGAAAGCTTGGAGGATAGCTTCCTGTCAAAAATTGTCACCTATAATGGATAACACACAACACCCAGCTTCCCAGTGTTCCATTTAATTCACAGGTGGGCAACTTTAAAAGTTAAGAAACTCTGTTCTTATGAGTAAATGAAGGATAACTACTGTTGTTAGCTCTGGTGGCACAGTGCCTCAGGCATTTGATGCTAACCAGAAGGTTGGTGATTCAAACCCACCAGCCACTCCATGGAAGGAAGATGAGGCAATATACTTGCGTAAAGAATTACTATCTCAGAAACCCAGTGGAGGTCGCTATGGGTTGGAATTGACTCTATGGCAGTGGGTTTGGTTGTTTTTTATTATTATTAGTTTTTGTTTTACTATTGTTAGCAGCTGTCAAGTAGCCTCTCAACTCGTGGCAATCCCCTGCACAACAGGATGGACCTTGTGAGCCATAGGTTTTCACTGGCTGATTTTCAGAAGTAGATAGTCAGACTTTTCTTCCCAGTCCGTCTTACCCTGGATGCTCCTTTGAAACCTTTTCAGCGTCACAACAACACAAAAACCTCCACCAACAGATGGGGTGGCTGTGCAGGAATTGATCCTGGGTCTCCCAGATGGAAGGCGAGAATTCTCCCAGTGAACCACCACTGCCCTCAAAGAAGAGCTGCAGTGTATTTTCGGTGGACTGCCTTTGTGTCTGTCTTTCCCCTTCATTGTTTCATTTCATTCTCTAAAGTGCGGTGTAGTCTGGATGCTCAATCCATTCTGCATACACTAAACAGCAAATCTGACTCTGTTACAGCTGTGCCTAAATCCCTTGAATGACTTCCCATTACTCTTAGAATAAAATTCAAATTTCTTTACACGACTTATGAGCCTTGTGAGGTCTGGCCTTGCTGATCTTGCATCCCTAACCACTCATCCTCTTTCTCCATGCTCCAGCCAAGTTGAACTCCTTCCAATTGTTTATTTACACCACGTTGTCTCTTACTTTCAGACCTGCACACATGCTGTGCTTTCTGCCTGGAACATGTCTCCCTTCCCACTCTGTCATACATTCATGTGGCTCTGGCTAAATTCGACTTGTTCTTCGGGGCTCAACATCATTTCTTCAAGAAGTTTTTCATGGTACCCTATGCTATGTTAAGTTCCCCTCTTTATGATTTTATAGGGCCCTGAACTACCCTTATAATTTGTTGTTGGTGTTATTAGTTGCTGACATTACTCTTTCTCATGACAACCTTATGTACAACAGAATGAAACATTGCCCAGTCCTAATTCATCCTCACAATCTCCAGCATATGCAAGTCCATCATTGTAGCTGCTGAGCCAATGCATCTCACTCAGGATCTCCCATACACTTGTTGGCCCTCTACTTCACCGAACAGTATGTCCTCCTCCAGTGACTGATCCAAAGCAAGCGAGTTGGACAGTGTTCTATTGTGGCCCATAAGGTTTTCACTGGTTCATTTTGCGAGGTAGATTGCAAAGCCTTTCTTCCTAGAAAGTGTCATAGTCTGGAAGCGCCACTGAAAACTGTCCACCATGGGTGACTGCTGGTAGTTGAAATACTGGTGGCATAGCTTCCAGCATCATAGCTGCCTACAAGTCACCACAGTTAGACACACTGACAGGTGGAGGACTTAGTTGGTATTACACATTTAATTATCTCTCTTCTATCACCTCCCCTCACCCAGAAAACAGGCCCGCCTCCCTTAGCACCTTGCACAGTACCTGCCAGAATAAATATTTGTTGAATCAATGAGTGACTGAAACAAAATGTAATAAAGAAACCAGCCTCCCTATCTTAGATGGCAGAACTAATAGGAAGTTCTAATTGGACAATCCTTGGAAATCAGCGGGTCCAACCTCCGTTTTACAGGTGGAGAAACTGAGGCCAGGAAAGGTGAGCTAATTAGTGGCCATGCTGAGATTTTTTGAACCCAGGTCTTTTGTTCCCAGTTCTGAGTTCCTTTTTCACCACATCACTGTGGCTCTCCGAAGTCAATTTTATCACCATAGCAAGGCTCAGAGGTTAGTATTGGCCTCAGCAGATAAAAAACAAGCCAAAGTGATTTTTCTCGTTTTCCTGAGAGTTCAAGTCTAATGGTAGCTAGAGGCTCTTACTTGGCTCTGGAGTGGAGATGGGGAAATGGGGTGGGTTGTAAGTGTATTCATTACTGTCCACTCTCAATTATATAAGTATAGTGCAGATAAAGCCCCATTTTAGCCATTAACAGCATACATGTAAGTGCTCTCTGAAAATACTGTTTGGTAATGATTGTATTTAATCACCCAGCCTTTTACCAGAGAGTTTCACCCTCTTTTTTCCATTCTTGTGCTTTTAATGCTCAGGGGAAAGAGCATGCCAGAAAGAAGCAACAGCATACCATTTTCTCTCCTCCTAAATGTGCCCTCCCCTCAAAATGATGGTACCTAAAATCTTCCCACCAGAAATGTGTTCTTTGACTGAAGTATCATTCAGTCTTTTCAGTTTTATTGGCAGATGTCATTCCTCCTACACAGGGAGGCATGAGGGCAAAACCACTGCAGTGAGGGTCCTGGAGATATTCAGCAATCAGGGAAGGGGAGGTAGTGGTCAGGGGGGCAGAGTAGTCTGGTGGGGAAACAGGGGCTGGAGGGCATCCAGGAGACAAAGAGAGAAAGAAGATGGGCACA